GACGGACATTTTTAAAAACATGTGATGGGACATCACAGCAGCTTTCGATCATGCCTTGACGAAGTTCATCCAAGCTTTCAGGTTGGGGAGTAAACACAATAGATTTCAAATGGCCCCATAGAAAAAAATTCTAATGGCGTCAAATCAGGAGATTTAGCTGGCCATTCTATAGGCCCTTTTCGCCCTATCCATTTATCTGGAAACTCGTCGTCTCGCCATTGCCGAACCGGAAGAACATAGTGAGGTGGAGCGCCGTCTTGCTGGAAATATATTTCAGCCTCACCAACTATATGGTTTCCATCGTCTTCGATTTGGTTTTCAATGGTTTCAGTGATAATCGGATTTATGTTATTCTCCAACATATCCAAATAAATGCCCTTCTACATAAAAGTGATGATTTTCATTGCTCAAATCCTTGCAGCTATGCTTATTAACAAATCCATTTAGATAAAATCTGCATTCATCACTGTATTCTTTACATGAATGGTATTATCATTAATCGCTGCAGTCATTTGTTCACTTGCATATCGAAATCATCTTCGGTTAACTGTATACAGAGCCTAAAGTAATACCAGTCGCATCAACAATTTTGCCTAATGAAGTATTAGTGGCTTCATCCAAAACTCTCCGATGATCATGTTCTTTATTCGCAACAGATCCAGTTTGAGTAAATTTAGTAACAAGGTCCAAAACATACTGTACATATGCAAAGTTATCTTCCCAGGATGTCTGGCGTTGAACTTGACGGCAGTTTGCCGGGCACATTGATTTTGGGCAGCATAAATTAGAATCAATTTCACTCTATCGGCTAGTGTGTAAACCATTTTGGAAGTAAAATCTGAATCAATAAATTATTTTTCACTATACAAGGTAGGTAACTTACAACAAATTAATTTCTTTCTTCCCCTTAGCAACAAACAACTAAACAGGTGTAACAGTAAATACAGATCGCCCAGGATATCTAGGTTGATGAAAAGAATGCGGCAAAATTCGGGTTGTTGTTGGTCTAATCTTTCGAATTGCTGTTTATGATGGTTTTAAATTATAAGCGAATTGTAGATTTGGCAAACCCTAACGAGCAACATTTTGAGCACTTATTGGAATAGGAAGTGATATTTTCATGTGTGTAAGTTTTCTATCTGAACAAATTAAGTTAAATAAAGATTTATCTGATTTTCTCGAAAACAAATAGTCTGATTTCAAAAAGTCAGACGTCAAAATGAAGGACTTCGAAATGCCTTTCAAACAAGCTTTTACTAGATACCCTTTGTTATTTAAAACTTTTAAGGGAATGACCCTGGGTGACTGAGGGTGAAAGGGGGCCGATTATTTTTTGTTCCCCTTGAAAAATCTGCTGACGTGATTTTTTTCTTTTAATCAGTAGTTTTCGATAAATCCGTGGTGGGAAGTTTTTAAATGAACATCCTGTATATACTAATTTTCGCATCTTCTCAAAACGTGGTATATGCACACACAGCAATATAGGTGCATTAAGGATGCCATATAGACATTGTGTCTCTATGTGACACACAAATAATGTATTTGCAATCAAGTTCAAACTTCAGCTCTTGAGCACAAAGATTTGTGTTAACCCTCCGGAAGGCGCGCTTTTAAAAATCTCAAAATATTACGAAAATAAAACGTAAATAAAAGTCAATTCTAACAAAACAAATTTCTAACGAAATCAAAAAATCTATTATTTCTTCGTAATCTTCTATATATTAAACTTCAGTAAGCATACAATTTTGACAGGTAACAGTCTTAGTACTGTGTCCCTTGCATACAAAATGTTGATATAAATTACAAGTAACTGTGGTTCTGTTGTTCTTTTTAGAACTGCGAATATGGCACCGTCCATTGGAATTTCTGGTAATTGCTGCCTCAGTCTCAAGCACTGTACCTTGAAAGAAATGCTGTTATATCCTTGGGAAGCGCTGCAGTTTTAGCTCGATCTTTTAGATGATTCGCAAACAGCTCAAAAGCTAATTCGGTTAGAAAAATACGTCTTCTTGGAGGATCAGCTAAAGGCTTAGTATTATTATAGATAATTTCAGAATTTATTCCAGCAATGTCAAGCATTCGAAAAAAAACTTGTAAGGGGCCATATCTTCTAGTAATTCTTTGTGTTGTGTAAGATGCACATTTTTGGTCTACGGTATCAACGCCACATGTTGTTCGATTGTAGTCCAAAATGATGTGTGGCTTTTTTATGGTCTCATCAATTTCACCTGCATCTTGCATTGTTGACAATAAGATTACCGCATTATTCTTTTTGCTTACATAAGAGGTTATCATATTATCTTGAAACCCGAATAGAGTGGATCCTACTTGACGTGAAGTATTTGGTAGAAAATCCAGTGGAATTTCTTTTTTGTTTTTTATATACAGTGGACCCCCGATAATCCGGCCCCTGCCTAATCCGGCGCCCCCTGTAATCCGACATGTCTTTAAATATGTTACATACATACGTATTTGACAATCTTCGCTAATGTAGATCACGCAGGTTTGAACAGGTTACAACTTGGACGCACCACCGCTATCGTGCTCGATGCGCAAGCATTGTTTTACTTAGTTTGAATTTGACTACTGGTGATAGCGGTACGGCCTAGCGTGCGTTCATTGTTTACTATTTATTCATTGTGTATTAAGTATAGTACCTAGTAATGTCATCACAAACTCAGAAGCGAAAGCACAAAACATTGACAAGTAAAGAAAAATGTGATATTTTAGACCGCTTAAATCGCAACGAAACTTTCAGTAGTTTAGCAAGTGAATACGGCGTAGGCCGATCTACAATTTATGACATTAAAAGAAACCACGAGAAGATCAAGAAGTTCGTGTCAACTACTGACTGCGGGCCAGGCAAGAAAGCTGAACATCCAGAATTGGAAGAAGCTTTGTACATGTGGTTTCTTCAGGAAAGAAATAGGCATGCACCAATTTCAGGACCCATGTTGGCCATGAAAGCTAAGTTTTTGTATAAGGAAATAACAAAAAAAAATGATTTTGTGGCCAGCAAAGGATGGCTAGAACGTTTTAAAAGTCGTCATGGCATACGTTTAATGACTATTACAAGAGAGAAACTTTCTAACGATGCCACCTGCATAGAGCCCTTTAAATTAAGATTTTTGTAAAAGGTGAACGATTTAAATCTTGACCCGTCACAGGTGTACAATGCAGACGAATGAGGGCTTTTTTGGCGTATGATGCCTAACAAAACTTTCGTTTCTTGTAACGAAAAATCCGTACCTGGACGAAAAGTAAGTAAAGAGCGTATAACTATACTACCATGTGCTAACGCTGCGGGCACACGCGCGCTTAAGATGATGGTCATTGGGAAATCTAATAAACCACAGGCATTCAAAAACATTAATTTACCTGTACACTATTACGGACAAAAAAGTGCATGGATGACAAAAGACCTTTTCAGAAAGTGGTTTCATGAATGCTTCGTACCTGAAGTTAGAAAATGGTTAAAAGATCATAATTTTCCTCAAAAAGCGTTGTTGCTTCTTGATAACGCTCCCAGTCATCCGTCTGAAGAAGAATTAACAACTGAGGATAAATGCATCACTGCGATATTTCTTACGCCAAATTGCACTGCCCTGATTCTACCAATAGACCAGAATATCATTCAGTTTGTCAAGCAAGACTATAAGAAAAACCTACTTCTGAGAGCCGTATCAAAAGACCAACCAATAGAAAAAACTTTAAAAGAATTTAATATGAAAGACATGGTTTCTGCTCTTTGTCAGTCGTGGAATGCGTTACCGTCATCAACTATTAAATCGTCTTTGAAAAAGTTATGGCCAGATATAGTCACCACTCCTTGCAACGTTCTACAAATCAGTGTTACTTCGGAAGTTATACAACAAGTCGCTACTTTATCACAGATAAGTCCGGAAGATTTGGAAATCTGGTGCCGTGGAATGGATAAAGAGGAAAATGTTTTTCATGAAATGTCTGACGAAGAGATTATAAAAGAGGTTTCTAATTATACAACAAACAATCAGGAAAATAACGGCGACGTGATTGCAACTGCTCCACAAGTCACAGCACAAGACGCAATTAACGCCTTTGAGCTAGGTTTACAATGGACTGAAGAGAATGGTACATCCTACAACGAACTTTTACTTTTGAGAAGACTGAGGGACAAAGCTCTGATCTCGCGTTATAACAACCTTAAACAAACAAAAATTGATGAATATTTCCAAGCTTCATAATTTGATAAATCCATTAATGATTTTGATTAATAATTCTTGATTATTTTGGTACATATGTATGTGCATTTACGCTTAATTTTATAATAAAACGTAAGCTCTATTGTTATTTAATTTATTAAATTCGACATACATAAACTATGTATGATTTGTACTTGAAAGTACATACATATACATAACATATATCTATGTATACATAATCTTACCATTGAATATGTAATTTGTCGGATTACAAGGTACTCTTTTGTGAAAAATTCCAGACTATAAGGGTCTTAGGCAGTGCTCTATAATCCGACAAATTCGATAGTCCGACACTGATCTGCATAATGTTTGTCGGATTACTCGTCCACTGTATTAATATAGTGGAAAGGCGACATTAAGTGCCGATAGCGCGCCCGCTGGAGGTTTAAGTTACCAGTAACATTTTACATGACTGCCAGAAACATTTTGCACTTCATTTTGTTTCAAGTACTAGCTCACAACCAGTTACAAAATACACAAAATGTCTATGACCTTTTTATGTTTCTATTGTCTTCCAATAATATAACTACAATTTAGACAAAAATTGACCGTCGCAGTCGCCAGTTTTTTCGTCACATTGAATATGCACTGGAAGAACATAACCGCCTGTTCACCTATCTCTCATTTAAAAGTGACGGAAGGCAGACGTTTTATATGGTCATATTTTAAAATCTATTTTGGCCTTATTTAGATAATCCGATATTGAGTTTAATCGATCCAGCAAAAACAAAACACCAAAAAAGAAAAAAGCACACTTACCGACACACCAGGCAAACTGAACACACGGTGTAGCGCAAGTTATATCCGCGTTTCGCTTATGAAGAAAATGATCTGCGAGATTACCAAAAAGCACCGCAGCAGCCGCGACTGCAGCCGCGGTTTGGAAGGGTGACCATGTGACCAGGTGTCCACTATCACTATACTGTTACCTATTATCACTTGCCAGTTTCAATTTTCATTGTGTCTCACGATCAGTCCGGGAACTGTCGAAGGTCAGTTATTAGAAGTGGTCATTTTGTTTCATATTTCGCAATCTCGGCAATTACATGCATAATCCTATGTTCTGATTCGCTGGGGGCGAGCTGCGATATATTCATATCTTCAGACTTTTTTATATAAAAAAGCCGTAAAGGCGAAGACTAAGTACCTAAGCACCGCAGCTGTTATAAACTTTTTGGCTCCAGTTTTTAAGCTCTATAAAGTATAATAATGCGAAATCCCGCCTTGCTGGTTGGCAGACCTGCAAAGGCGTACCACAACTGATCCAAAACCTTTGTGAAGTCAATTTTTTTGCTGAACCTGAAGCCTATGTTCGGCTTTTAACAGGCGATGGCGAATGTTTAATTAATCAAAAATTTGGGTACGTTATAAGAATAAAGTTATAAACAACAGTATTTCGTGCCTTTAGCAGTAATGTAAAACTCCTAATAATGGAAGGTGATACGAACACGGTTAAACCAGAGGAATGTTCACATTACTATACCTATATTGAAAGCGGCACCGAAAAAATTGTATAGCTCAAAGTGTTCTGAAAAAAACGGTAATTCCTTAAATCATCACTTATTCTGACACATTCAAGGGTTTGGTAATAAAAACATGACAATACTTATTGTTGAAGAAGATATATACGATGAAGCATCCTATTTGAGATATGAGTACCAGAACAGCTGCACAGTCACATGCTTAGAAAGTGCCTGATTGCGTGAAACACTTTCAAAATTATACCGTACAATCAAGTCAAACTGACCATTCGAGTCATTTTACTTTTTGATCATGGAATAAGCTAAATAGATAAACAAAACTAATTAGCTATGCCAATGCCAAAAAATAGTAGCATAACAACACCTTATAGTAATCTGACTCTTTTATCTTCATGTTTTTAGCTGGAGCCTTGAGTGGCGAGAAGTCGCTTGACAAAGTCGACGCTTAGGCAACCAAAGTTACGCGACTATGTATGGAGCGTAAATGCCTTCTACCCGTCTGGAAGCACCTGCTGTCATCTAGGCCACTTCCATGAAAGTCCTCGAAAACGCTAGAATATTAGACGCTTCGATACGTGGATAAATATCCGACCAGATGGCGGAAGCAGTTAGTCACAGTAAAGACTCAGTCGAGCCAGAGGCCAGTGAGTGTGGAATTAAAATGGAATAATATTCCAGTCGACATAGTTATCAGTCTGTTATAAACTATACTATAACTATCTAAAACTGTAATGACTCATCGATGTTCAGGTAAACATCACTTAACTACCAGTAGTTGGCTGATCATAGGCGGGGTATGAATGTTTAACATGGGTGAACTAGATTTGTCACATGCTTAATAAAGAGTGGTTTGAAACATATTGTAAGTGAAAAATTTGGGAATTACCTTTATTCATCGTCGCTTCCACTTACATCTGACAGTAATAAACTGTCGCTATCGCTTTCCTCGTTGAAATTGACTATAACTGGCTCTATGATGGTGTCGATGTGGTGGTCAAGCTGCCACATTTTTGTTTCTTCCTTCACAACATGACGGATAGCATTCTGCCAAGCTTCGGGCGTTACTAGCTGTATGGAAGTCTCAAGTAAAACCTTAACGTCTGGTAATTTGAATATGGCGCGCAATATAACCCTTCACTTGAGCCCAGATGAGCTCTATTGGGTTCAGTTCATAGTGGTAGGGCGGTAACCGCAGCACAGTGACACCACATTGACGGGCCATCTCATCAGTCACGTAACTAATGTTCGCAGGTTTGTGCTGTTTAATTTTTTCATACAATTCCGATTTCACACATGAATCGTCAAACGGGATTCCTTTTTCGCGCAACCATTGCTGCATGTCACTTTTTCGAGATCCCGTAGTCGGTACACGTTCGGCTCGACGACTATGGTAGGAAGCATTATCCATGACGATCACAGAGTTGGGCTCAACTCGCTGAAGCACCCCTTGAAACCAGCTCTCGAAGCAGCTGGCATTCATTTCGTCATGGTAATCACCTCCTTTCTTAGAGACGAAAATCAAGTCACACTCTTCTAAAAAGCCACTATCGCTACCAATATGAGTTACGATCAATCTTTGACCTTTCCCTGACGGTCCACGAAGACCTGTTGACAAACCTTCAATGCTTGCTTGTCGGTTACTCACTACGTTTTTGTCTATCCAGGTTTTTTTAACTGTGTGACCTGCATTTACCCATGTCTCGTCCAAATAATAGATTTTTCTGCTTTGTCGCCTATATTCAATCATTTCGCATAGGTATTTTCGACGCCAGGCGACTATTTCAGGTCTCTCTATCAATACTGACTTCCGATTACGCGTTTCGTAACGAAAATTAATTTCGTGCAGGGATTTCCTCATTACCTCGACGCTCATTTGGGGTATAATTTAATTTTCCTTGATCGCTGCATGTACAGCCTTGAGGGTTGGTATCTCATTCCTAAAGAAGAATGAATGTACGGTTCGTCTTAACGCCATTTTGCTATCGTCATCCAATTTAACGGCCTTTCGTCCCTTCAAATTGAACTTTGGATCAGTAGTAGCTCCAGTTTTCTTCTTTTCATGCACCACCCTGCGAATGGTCCACTCTGGAATGCCTGTCATACTTTCACAACGCGCAAGTGCATCTCCCTGCGACATAGTTCTGTTCAGATAATTGAACACGATGAGCACAATTTCTTTCGCGTCCCTCTTCAGTGCTTTACGAAGCCGTCTACTTGTTCCCTGGCTTTCAGTACTTCCACTCGTGCCATTTGTACTCTCCATGGTTAAGTATAACCAAAACAGTAACCACAGAAACCACAACAATAACAATCACACAACAATTCTTATAAAAACACACAATATGCGATCGCTCAACGAAACACGTTCCAATGAGTTGCCGACGCCTATGAGTCTGCCGGTCGAGGCGCGTCTTTGATTTCATTGGTTCTACCGGCGGAGAAGAATCAGCCATTATTTCCATCTCTGTCTGTGCTGTTGACCACCGCAAAGCCACAGAAACGACATATGTCGTACGCTATACGGCTGTACTGGAAGGAAGCCGGGATCGAGCTCTGATCACATGTTGATCACGCGTATGAGTCATTACAGTTTTAAATAGTTGTAGTATAGTTGCAAGTATTATAAATTAGTGTAGCAGTAATAAATTCTATTTTAAACAGTCAAACGGCGTTTTTTACATTATGTTTGTCTTTAAGATGAAATACTTCATGTTTTCGATATGAAATGAGTTTGGTACATAAAGGCGAGTTCAACTATAATTATGATATTTGTGATGAAAACTAATGATTGTACATAAAATTTAAATCCAAAAAATTGTTGGTAGAAAACGCAGGTATAGACACACGCGCTTTATTGAAATATTTAAGTTGCGACATGGGACTTTGATGATGTCGCACTACCAATCCACGGTCGACCCGTCAAGAGGTCGCAATAGTGTTCACAATTGGTGGTGCGACATCTTCTGTGCAAAGCACAGAACGTCGAACAGCTATGAGCCAGAAGGCGTAAGGGTCCTCTGCCATCTCCATTCTTTTGGATGAGGCTGAAAATCAGCATAGCAAACCACTGGTAGATGGCGTTCGTCGCGTACTTGCGCACAATATTTTTATCTTTCAAAATATCATGCCCATTTGTTTGCTCTTCGTTTGTCTGTCTTCAAGACTAGACCTGTACCGCACTAATGAGTACGAAACATCGCTGTTTGCGGTTGGTCGTGGTTACAGAGACGGAAAGCAAATATGTCCTTCTCAGTCACAACAAAGATTGTTTATACTACTCACTAGTTTGAATCTAACAAAACTGTCATAATTAATTTTTATATTGGTGTAATAAATGTAGAGTTCAACAATAACGACATAATTAATTTTTGTCATATAATGATATTTCATACCGCGGCTCTTGGGCGAGAAGAATGTGTGACCCTGTCTAATGCCTCAAATTTCCTATTCTTCTTCCCTACTAGATTAGTTTTTCTTGTCATGGTTTCTATACGAAAACGTTTCGGATATATTATTTTTATTACTTATAACTTGTTTCTGAATGATACGTTATATCCCAGTACCATTAATAAAAAAATATGATATTTTATAAGAGCTCGCTAGGATTCTGCAAAGAACATACCCTCCAGGATAACAACCATAAATATATTTATGCATGTACGCTACGCCAAGCATTACCCAGCTAGAGAATCATAGGGCAGGTTCGGATAGGTGTTGCCTAACGAGAATACGTTAGTCAATGGATTTTCCTGCCCGAAGGATGTCTGATTTGTGTGATTTGACAAATCGGGGAATAGCAAGTGAAGATACAGATTGGATATTTTCATTAGCAGGCATCGTCAAGCTAGCGTTGCCATTTATACTAAGTATTATTACCGATAGCTAGTAGCATAATAATCCTATTACGTGTGAAGGGTCATTTATATACGCTTTTCATAATTCAATGGACGAATCTACAATAAAGAGATAAAGCTGTCCGCGAAGGGTTAACAAATAACGGCACAATTAGACACAAAATCTTGAATCACTCAACTTTCCCCTACAAGTTTATAACCTACTATCAGTCACATGTATGACCCAATTGAATTTGTCACACAATACGTGATAGCGACCATCTTTCAATATGTTTTTGTTTACTTTTCTTTGTTTAACATACCGCTTTAAGGAAAACTATCATTCGGTGTCCCTCAGTGAATCATTTATTTACAAACAAAGTGCACTGAAGATTTATTTTCATTTTGCCTTTACCCAAATTTCTTGGTATAAATAGATCTCACGTATCATCGACTGACAAAAAGGGCTGCTAAAATATCAATTATGAGTATTCTGCATATCGGACGCACCCTCAAAATCTTCAAAGATATGTGGGATAATGATCTCTGTAATATAAAAATTAGACATCCGCGCAAGACCTTTAAATTCGCGCGTTCC